TCCCGAAAATTTCCCGAAATTTCGAGACTTGACCATCCCTAATTTTTACTAAAATACTCGGAGCCCTCTGGGGACCTCAAAAAAGTAAATCGGTCCCGGGTCGAGGTCTTACCACGATACCTAAGACAATAGCTTCCCTAGTTGGAAAATTCACTAAAAAATGACCCCTTGTGGCTAAATAAACACCATTTACGTAAACACTATAGTAATTCTCAAATTTTCATTTTTTTATTGCACTAGCCGTGTACTGGTGCTTTGCTAAGTAAGTTTAGAGTAACTTGTTAACAAATTATAATCAACCCTATTATTTAAATTGTTATCCATTAATTGTTGTTAATAATTGTTGTTTGTTGTTACTTTGATTTGACTAGGATATGCTGATTTATCTTCGACAATTTTGAGTTGTAACGAAACTAAAATAATCAAAACCGTAACAGACAGATACACATTGAAATTTGATGGTTTTTTTAAGGTTGGTCTTGGTTTCAGCGTTATTTCAAACAATCATATCAAACACAGAAATAAAATAAAATGATTACGAATATACAGACAACAGTTTTATTTAATTTTTCTCAGTACCTTCCTAAATTTGTTTTATTTCGATTTCCCATTTAACAAATATTTTCAAGGGACAAAATAGAGAATGAAACTGTAAAATTAATATGAACCACTAATTTACATGTTAAGATTGTAGTTACTATCTTCCGTAATGGCACAGTAAATAGACTCTATATACGTAAGTGTTATAAGTTCTACTACCACAGTGAGCAGAGCGACCTTGCGTAGGTCAGAGAAGCAGATCGAATTTTATAGGATGGCTAGTAGCGAGTTTACCGGTAGATTCAAGTGACGCTCAGGCTACAAAACATGCGTTCTTATTCTCCTGTTTTGGACGCTGTTTTTCACCCATTTTACATGAAATGTTTACCTTTGTTTACAGAAAGGGCTGAATTTTTTTTCTATTAAAAGCAAATTACAACTTTATTACGGTCGAAATCGTTACCAAACTTTAGAAAAATTGACCTATTTTCACATTGTATTAAAAGAAATCTATCTAAAAAATTCTTAATTTAAGGTTATACATGAAAGCAGATACTCTTTGTGAACAAGTTAAGACGTATACCAAAGTTCTAACTTAAAAATTGGCGTCCGAAATGGGGGAAAAGACAACGTATGTTGGAACGTTTTTTTCAGGGGTGAGGATGCCTCTTAACATATTTACACATTAAAGACTAAAAAGTAGAAAATAATTTATAAATAAAAATACTTAAAAAAATTTCAACTTTTTTAAACACACTAAAAAGTCAAAAATAATTTTTAAATATGTGGAAAGAATACATACTTGTAAGATTTAAAAGAAAAACGTGAGGCACATGCAATAGATAATAATAGTTCAATAGGTGAAGATAATTGTAAATTAGCAAATATTAATTAGTAAATATTAACATTTAAATACTTTATATTGGTAACTTCAATTTATTATGTTACTATGTAAATATAGTTTTATGTAACTTGTATACAAAGACCCAACCATAAACCTGGAACGTCCCTACCTTCAACCATTCAACAGCCAAAATCCAGCACACAGTTTGAAAAATGAAACGGAAGGAGAAGGACCTTCTGCCAATATAACTAAGCTGCGAGTCTGACGTTGACTCTCGTCTACTCTGTTGGCTTCATGTTATGGACAGGACTATCACAAGCGCTGTGTCATGAAGATCCTCAACAACTGTGCCTACACACTGTGTGCCAGTGGCAAGCGGAGAAGGTCGTCCACACACAAGTGCCCAGGAGTCCCTCAGGCCATTATAATAATCTGTCTTGTGTATAGGTTGTAGACAGAACTACCACAAGCGCTGTGTGGTGAAGATCCCCAACAACTGTGCCTACACACTGTGTGCCAGTGGCAAGCGGAGAAGGTCATTCACACACAAGTGCCCAGGAGGCCCTCAGGCCATTATAATGATCTGTCTTGTGTATAGGTTGTAGACAGAACTACCACAAGCGCTGTGTGGTGAAGATCCCCAACAACTGTGCCTACACACTGTGTGCCAGTGGCAAGCGGAGAAGGTCATTCACACACAAGTGCCCAGGAGTCCCTCAGGCCATTATAATAATCTGTCTTGTGTATAGGTTGTAGACAGAACTACCACAAGCGCTGTGTGGTGAAGATCCCCAACAACTGTGCCTACACACTGTGTGCCAGTGGCAAGCGGAGAAGGTCATTCACACACAAGTGCCCAGGAGTCCCTCAGGCCATTATAATAATCTGTCTTGTGTATAGGTTGTAGACAGAACTACCACAAGCGCTGTGTGGTGAAGATCCCCAACAACTGTGTCTACACACTGTGTGGCAGTGGCAAGCGGAGAAGGTCGTCCACACACAAGTGCCCAGGAGTCCCTCAGGCCATTATAATAATCTGTCTTGTGTATAGGTTGTGGACAGAACTACCACAAGCGCTGTGTGGTGAAGATCCCCAACAACTGTGCCTACACACTGTGTGCCAGTGGCAAGCGGAGAAGGTCATTCACACACAAGTGCCCAGGAGTCCCTCAGGCCATTATAATAATCTGTCTTGTGTATAGGTTGTAGACAGAACTACCACAAGCGCTGTGTGGTGAAGATCCCCAACAACTGTGCCTACACACTGTGTGGCAGTGGCAAGCGGAGAAGGTCGTCCACACACAAGTGCCCAGGAGTCCCTCAGGCCATTATAATAATCTGTCTTGTGTATAGGTTGTAGACAGAACTACCACAAGCGCTGTGTGGTGAAGATCCCCAACAACTGTGCCTACACACTGTGTGCCAGTGGCAAGCGAAGAAGGTCGTCCACACACAAGTGCCCAGGAGTCCCTCAGGCCATTATAATAATCTGTCTTGTGTATAGGTTGTGGACAGAACTACCACAAGCGCTGTGTGGTGAAGATTCCCAACAACTGTGCCTACACACTGTGTGGCAGTGGCAAGCGAAGAAGGTTGTCCACACACAAGTGCCCAGGAGTCCCTCAGGCCATTATAATAATCTGTCTTGTGTATAGGTTGTGGACAGAACTACCACAAGCGCTGTGTGGTGAAGATTCCCAACAACTGTGCCTACACACTGTGTGGCAGTGGCAAGCGGAGAAGGTTGTCCACACACAAGTGCCCAGGAGTCCCTCAGGCCATTATAATAATCTGTCTTGTGTATAGGTTGTGGACAGAACTACCACAAGCGCTGTGTGGTGAAGATCCCCAACAACTGTGCCTACACACTGTGTGGCAGTGGCAAGCGAAGAAGGTCGTCCACACACAAGTGCCCAGGAGTCCCTCAGGCCATTATAATAATCTGTCTTGTGTATAGGTTGTGGACAGAACTACCACAAGCGCTGTGTGGTGAAGATCCCCAACAACTGTGCCTACACACTGTGTGGCAGTGGCAAGCGGAGAAGGTCGTCCACACACAAGTGCCCAGGAGTCCCTCAGGCCATTATAATAATCTGTCTTGTGTATAGGTTGTGGACAGAACTACCACAAGCGCTGTGTGGTGAAGATCCCCAACAACTGTGCCTACACACTGTGTGGCAGTGGCAAGCGGAGAAGGTTGTCCACACACAAGTGCCCAGGAGTCCCTCAGGCCATTATAATAATCTGTCTTGTGTATAGGTTGTGGACAGAACTACCACAAGCGCTGTGTGGTGAAGATCCCCAACAACTGTGCCTACACACTGTGTGGCAGTGGCAAGCGGAGAAGGTCGTCCACACACAAGTGCCCAGGAGTCCCTCAGGCCATTATAATAATCTGTCTTGTGTATAGGTTGTGGACAGAACTACCACAAGCGCTGTGTGGTGAAGATCCCCAACAACTGTGCCTACACACTGTGTGGCAGTGGCAAGCGGAGAAGGTTGTCCACACACAAGTGCCCAGGAGTCCCTCAGGCCATTATAATAATCTGTCTTGTGTATAGGTTGTGGACAGAACTACCACAAGCGCTGTGTGGTGAAGATTCCCAACAACTGTGCCTACACACTGTGTGGCAGTGGCAAGCGAAGAAGGTTGTCCACACACAAGTGCCCAGGAGTCCCTCAGGCCATTATAATAATCTGTCTTGTGTATAGGTTGTGGACAGAACTACCACAAGCGCTGTGTGGTGAAGATTCCCAACAACTGTGCCTACACACTGTGTGGCAGTGGCAAGCGGAGAAGGTTGTCCACACACAAGTGCCCAGGAGTCCCTCAGGCCATTATAATAATCTGTCTTGTGTATAGGTTGTGGACAGAACTACCACAAGCGCTGTGTGGTGAAGATCCCCAACAACTGTGCCTACACACTGTGTGGCAGTGGCAAGCGAAGAAGGTCGTCCACACACAAGTGCCCAGGAGTCCCTCAGGCCATTATAATAATCTGTCTTGTGTATAGGTTGTGGACAGAACTACCACAAGCGCTGTGTGGTGAAGATCCCCAACAACTGTGCCTACACACTGTGTGGCAGTGGCAAGCGGAGAAGGTCGTCCACACACAAGTGCCCAGGAGTCCCTCAGGCCATTATAATAATCTGTCTTGTGTATAGGTTGTGGACAGAACTACCACAAGCGCTGTGTGGTGAAGATCCCCAACAACTGTGCCTACACACTGTGTGGCAGTGGCAAGCGGAGAAGGTTGTCCACACACAAGTGCCCAGGAGTCCCTCAGGCCATTATAATAATCTGTCTTGTGTATAGGTTGTGGACAGAACTACCACAAGCGCTGTGTGGTGAAGATCCCCAACAACTGTGCCTACACACTGTGTGGCAGTGGCAAGCGGAGAAGGTCGTCCACACACAAGTGCCCAGGAGTCCCTCAGGCCATTATAATAATCTGTCTTGTGTATAGGTTGTGGACAGAACTACCACAAGCGCTGTGTGGTGAAGATCCCCAACAACTGTGCCTACACACTGTGTGGCAGTGGCAAGCGGAGAAGGTTGTCCACACACAAGTGCCCAGGAGTCCCTCAGGCCATTATAATAATCTGTCTTGTGTATAGGTTGTGGACAGAACTACCACAAGCGCTGTGTGGTGAAGATCCCCAACAACTGTGCCTACACACTGTGTGGCAGTGGCAAGCGGAGAAGGTCGTCCACACTACAAGTGCCCAGGAGTCCCTCAGACACAGGCTCTACTTCCTCTGTCAACTCAGCCTCTGCCTCAGCATCTGACGACAACTCCCTGGTCAGTGCCTTAAAAAAGTTCACCACACATTTTTCTGACAAATAAAATTATATAATGTGTGTTTTCTGTTGTTGGATATATGTAGGTATTATAGTAACACTGTTTAGTTGTGCTTGTAATTTTTTCCTTCATCATCGCACAAAATGGTCTTCCGGGTGGTCGTTCAATCTATTCCCAAGTATTGAGTAGGCTAATTGTTATCAAATACATTCTGTGAATAAAATATATGTTGTATAAAATTAATGTAAATACATTTTTGCTACAAAAATAAAATGTTAATTTAACCAGTACTAGAAATTTTCCTCAAAAATGTTTTACTTGTGAGAAAAATACCCAAACTCAAAAAGACAACTAAGTAAAATACCCCCGCTACAGCAAACCTGCAGACTAAGCAAATTTCCACTTGTCTGATTACATTTTTACAAAAATATTACCATAAATAAGATATATTTATTCCCAATTTAAATAGCATTAGATTTAACGAGTGCTTAGGTTTGCTGCTACGGGGAAAGTAAAAAGTGTTTTTTGACCAAGCGTTAATAGTATAGTATAGGGATGGACGGGATTGAATTTTTAGTTCGGGACGGGACAGGACGGGATTTTTATTTCCTTCCCAATTTTCGGGACGGGACGGGACGGGATTTTTTCCTGTACTTAAAAAGAAAGACTTGAGTATTGCAGTTACCAAAAAGTCAAACAAAATCAATTTTTACCGTTTGTGGCCTATCTATAAAAACCAAAAAATCTTCGGTATGACTCCGCGGTCACAGCGTGATAGTCTGTTTGACTCCGCGGTCGCGGTGCGATAGTCGTTATGACTCCATGGTCACGGCGTGATCGTCGGTATGACTGCGCGGTCACGGCATGTGTACTGTATGCAGTCATACTTATATTCAAACATCTAGAAAAAGATCTATCAACACGTTTAAACCACTTATATCTTAAAGGATTAAGCACTTATACTTAGACGGATTGCATTTATGACAAAACTTGATTAAACGTTTAAAATGTTTAGTTCAAAATTACACAATCTCCTGATAACATAGATCTTTTACGGTAGGTAATAAACTGCATTTTAAAGTGAAATAGTGAGTAGGCAAACTCTGGATCAATATTTTTGTATACAAACAACTTGTAACATAAACATTTCAATGACAGTTAGAAACCAGCTGTTAGTTAAACCACCACTAAAACGACTTTAACTCTACCGTCGGCTGCTAGACTTTTTGAAAATTAAAACTTAATTTCTAAAAAACTGAAACCCTAAACTAAAATTATGGCTTTGACATTCCCTAGTTCTCAAAATTATCTTTCTTTCAACACAAAAATCATGAAAATCCGTCGAGTGGTTGATTCAGAATCGTGAAATAAAAAAACACAGTTTCGTTTTAATATTATAGATTTAATCAAAGCTATCATATATATACTAACAGAGTAGGCTACCTTTCTTTTTAAGGGGTTGGCATATAAGTATAAAATGCTTATTGCAGTTATACTCAAGCTTTGTGTTTGCAATGGGGGAGAACACAGTTTGATCAAATTTGCTTCTTTAAATTTACAGTAGTATACTATAGTATTACACATCTACCATAGCCATAATGTTCTACCAATTTACCTAAACAACAGAGAAAGATAAATTATCAAAAATTCACAAAATATCACAAATTATTCATGAAATTAAAAATATAAACATAACTGTAAACAATCCTACTTTGACAGTTCTCATTGCGTTTACAGTTTTTTGTTGCTGCTTAGTTCAAATTAGCTGATTTCATAATTGCAAAAAAATAATAGTGCTGCACCCTGTTGGTAAATCTTATAATTTTTTAATGCTTTTATAACAAACATTTTTAGTTGAAACAGTTGACTAAATTCTTTAATTCCGTTTAAATATGAATACTCATAAGGTTAACATGGGGAACTACAGAGCCACTGGGGCGGAGCCCGAAAGGATTTTTGAGATAAGAATATGCCTATATATTAATCGGGAATGTGAGCTATCATCATGCCAAATTTCAGCCCAATCCGTCCAGTAGTTAATGCGTGATTGAACTTCAAACACACAAACTTGCACATTTATGATATTAGTGAAAATTTGAACGAATGGTGTTTTTGGCCTCTGGGGACATCAAAATGAAAAATCTAAATCGGTCCCAGGCCTAGGTCTTACCGTGCCACCTAAGGTAATTGCAACTTAACTATGTGGAAATTAGCTAAAAGGGATTATGCATATCTAAAGGCAAATATCTTTCTAACAGTATTCATAGATTTTTCCCTGCGATGCACAGGAGCTAAGGAAATAGGTTATCAATAAACCATGTTTTTCTATTAACCCTTCCCGGACAGGCGAAATCGTGACATAGAACGGGAAAAAATTATAGGAAAAAATAAAAATTATTTTTCCTTATTTGTGTTTTGTTTCACAAGTATACATAAAATAAACACAATGGAACACTTCATACTGTCAAAATAATTTTTGATTATCCGGATATATCCGTACCCGTCCGCAAAGGGTTAATATATAGAATTAGCCCCATGTTTAATCTCTAAAAGAAGTGTTGAATTTCCATTTTTGACCCAATTAACATAAATATTCTCAAAACACAAATAAAACCTGCACATATTGGACCGATAACCTTTCTTTTGGTACAACCTGCGGGTAAATCGGTCCAGTAGTATGGTCAGGGTGGCTGTTGTAAGCTTAAAATTTTGTTCCATGTTAAATCTCCATATGAAAAAATAAAATGAAGGGTTACACAATTTGGTCTCCTATGACATTCCAAATTATGAATTGGTGGATTGGATGCTTTTCACATAAATCACATTTTGGACCGCCATTTTGGCTAGGGGTCAAATATCTACCTCGGATTTGCGTCATTGTATTTTTTATGACAAACCCTTCAAAATGAGGGGTTACTCAATAGGTGTTGTTATTTGAAATAAATAAGTCACCCCCCTACCCTGTTGGATGTTATCTAAAGTTATATACAGGGTGTTTGGTAGACAGTGTCAAATATTTTAAGGCATTATTATGCACACAAATTGCTATAACAATACGCAATTTGGATAGTTATATCTCACTCCTACTTCCGGCAACAGCCATTTTTAGAAGTTTCCAAATTTCTTGACATTGCCTAATAAAATCTCATATTTCTCAACTTTTAACCTACATAATGATATTTTCAATGGCATTTTTAGAATTGTCATTAAATTTTCTATCAAAACAAGTATAATATAGTACAGCTAAACCCATTTTAAAATTTTAAATTTGACTTAAATAACAAATTTTGAAAAATCAATAAAAAGGCTGCTACAACTCGCTTAAGAAAATTTTTTATCAAGCCGTGTTAAAAACTGTCAAATAGTATAAAAAACATCTCCACATTTTAAGAAATGATATGCAATACGTGACATGTAATGTCAGCCTAAGGGGAAAAATTTGCATTAAACATAAAATTAATCATTTTTTCACTAACTGCACTCATTATATACGAGAACGCATTTAGTAAAAGTTGTGTGCAAAAGGTATCTGTATAATTAAGTATTTCCCAAGTAAACTTGTAAAATTTAATTCTGTAGTATAGTACAGTCCAAACTAGTTGTAGTGCTTTGAATGCCTCGTAAAAGTAGTGAAATTTATAAATACACACGTTAGTTGTGATTACGAAGATACTGATCATATGTAATTAAGAATATTTCTACCGAACAAATTTTCAAATACGAGGCCTAATATATTTATTATTGGAAACATACAAAAATCATGGATAAGCTGCACCTTAAAAATCTTAAATACAGGTTATGTCTGATGCATGTTCTTGATGCATATAGGCCTACTGCACACGTAAATTATTTTACAAACAATTAATTTAATGGGGCATATATTTATTCGACAAACTTAATCGACAAACCTATCTAGGTTTTTGCAACACACCCTATCTTCAGTCTTTGATCACATAGAGTTTGGTCAAACTTAAATAAAAAGTAAAAACATTTTAAAATAGCACTCCTCTTCATTACACTAATGAGGTAAGAAACTAAGTCATATGGATTCTTGTGATGAGACAGACCCTTTGCATGGGCAGCCAGATTCTCTGATCTTATGCCTATCTTATTCTTTGTTTGGGCATTCCTTAATGGTGAAGTGTATACTACAGATGTATACAGTGAAGAGGACTTGAGAAAGCTCTATAATTGACAGTAGTTGTACAAAAGTTGAGAGGAACCCTTTCCTATAAGATTACAGTTGAAGCAATAAAGAAAAGCTAAAGAACACGCAAAGACGGGTAGTTTTAACCACATATTTAAAACTCTTAAGGTGCAGCTTTTCCATGTTTCTGTTTGTATTCAATTATATAAAAAAATATTACCTTGTATTTCAAATTATTCTGTAAAATAACTTTTTTTTTAAATCATGTTAATTATTTACTATCTTAATTACCTCTGACTTGTGCATTTATAAAATTCTCTATATTAACCTGGTATAAAATAATTCAAAGCCCTTTGACTATGTACTATGGTATTCAATATGTACTAAAATATTAGATTTTATAAGTTTACTTGGGGTAAACTTTATTATACAGATACCTTTTGCACATAACTTTCAATAAATGCGTTCTTGTAATTAATGATTGCAGTTAATGAAAAAAATGATTAATTTTATGTTTAAAGCAATATTTCTCCCCTTAGGCTGACATTACATGTCACATATTGCATATCATTTTAAAGCTTAAAATGTGGAGATGTTTTTTATACTATTTGACAGTTTTAACACGACTTTGTGAAAAATTTTCTTAAGCGAGTTGTAGCGCCCTTTTTATTGATTTTTCAAAATTTGTTGTTTAAGTCAATTTTAAGAACTTTTAAATGGGTTTAGCTGTACCATATCTATATATCTAATTCCGTAAGTTATAGGTATTTTGATAGAAAATGTAATGAAGACTCTAAAAATGCCATTGAAAATATCATTATGTAGGTTTAAAGTTAAGAAATATGAGATTTTA